GTGTGTGTGTGTGTGTGTGTGTGTGTGTGTGTGTGTGTGTGTGTGAGGGTATGTTTGTGTTTATAAATGTATATTTCTCAGTATTTTATGACAGCTTTGAGGTGTACAACTTTTATGTGGCGGTCTGAATCCACTACATATGCTTTCTGTTAGCAGCAGCCCTCATACAGCCTGAGGAGGAAATGCATTATTTACCAAACAAACAATAGGTGCAAACAAGCCATGCAGGAGCTTCCTGCCATCAAAGACAAGAAAATAACATCATCCTCGCAGAAACGTTTTTTGATTAATTTAATTTCAAGGATTAGTGTTAAGTTTATCAAACATAGTCAATTGTATGTAGGCCTGTCACAATAAACAATAAATCAATTAATCGCATGATAAATGAAAATGATCTAGTCTACCTCATTTTCATTTATCAACTTTATTGTTTCTTCATCTCTCACTTTCTACTGAAGACACTGGGTGAAAAAAGGCTCAACCCTGGTTCTCTTCACTGACCCCTCCCTTTTGTTTTTTCTCTTTAAAATCTGTTTTAACAGTCCGAAATCGCGTTTTTGGATCGTTAAAAGCAGCTAAGCTGAGACGCTAAGCTATGAGCTAAGCTAACAGGCCGACCTCGGGGAAAAACCTCCATCTTGTTGAAGCTCCAAAATACACGGTTGAAACCTGTGCCTTCATGTAAAAAGTTGTTGTTTTTTTTCTCTGCAAAGAGCAGCTGAGAACTTGTTTACAGATTTTTTTATTAAAAGCTTTGCGTGAAAAATGTTATGCTAAGGAGCTCGAACCACACCGAGTATCTGCCATATTGAGAACCGAATAAAGGAAGGAGAGACAGCCCATGTCACGTCAAGAGGCCTCCCTCCCATTTTTCTTGAAGAGACTCACTGCTCGTTCCCTCACTATCCATCCTTCAGTTCAAACAGTCTTGTACTGCCATCCGGTGGTCGAAAAAATGTACTACGTGCAAAACAAATTAACCAACATTTTTTCTTAAATTTGACAATAATTACTAATTATTGTCAAATTTCAAACAATATTGTTGTTTATCGCAATAATTTGTGAGACAATTAATCATCTAGCAAAATTTGTTATTGTGACAGGCCTAATTGTATGCTAGTTTAGGTTTGGGAGAAGATCAGAATGAGATGTAAACTGATCAGGGAGTCAGCAGCCTGTGGGGGAGGACTGATACATGAGGTCTGTAGGCCTTGACTCCTGCCTCATGTGAAGAGTAGATTATTTCAGTAATGGCATGCAGAATTCCTCATCTAGGTTACTATCTACTACAGATGGATGTCAGCCAAGGGTTTAAATCTGTTGCAAGAATATTGTTCTTTGCAAGGTTCTGACAAACAGAAACTGAAAGGAAAAGGCATTTTTGGGAGTCTTGTTTGGTCCAGTTATGACTACAATGAGATTAGGCACTAATGTACCAATGTGGTGCCATAAAAAGAACTTCTCAGAAATTAATTAATTATAATAAGCTTAAAGACAAACTAATGTGAGGGAACGGAGTATGGAGGAAATAGAAATAAACAGGAAGGGGGTGTAGCAATGTTGTGGAGAGCAAATTTTGGAATCTATTAAAATTTTTGGAAATTATAATTTACTATAAATTCTGTTGTAAAGCACATATGTAATAACTACCAGTAAGATGTTCAAAACAATAACAATACTGAATAAAACTTTATTAAAAACAAAAATTGTTATAGATGCTATATTGTTCCCTGATAGTTATGTACAAGACTTCCTGTGTGGAGGTTTGGGGAAATACAAACAAAAAACAATAAATCTGTTCATATGCTGCTGAAAAACATTCATAAAAATATGAATGATTACATTAACATGATCCAACTAACACAATCTTCATTAAAGGCCATGATTTAAAATTCTACAGTTTAGTAGAGGTTAACATTGTTTTAATGATTTATTTATCTTAAAATACATTTCCAAAATGAACACAGACAATGACTTAAATTAAATAAACTACCAGTAAGTTTAAACTCAGAGGAAGTGATGGTCAGGATGTGTGAAACATTTTTATGTCTTTTTTTAATGTTTGTATCCAACATATTTTATCGTTGGTGATTATTTTTAGGGAAAATGTTGAAGAGTTATTCCATCTATCTATATCTATAGATATATATGACACTTGGCTTGTCATATTAGTCGAGGTCCCTCTTGTGGCTGAAAATGGTAGTGTTCAACATTTTCCATGTCAGAATGAATGAAACCGTCAGATCTCAACCAAAAATTGAGTTATAAATATGGAGGTGAAAAAAACAAGTTGCTTCGCTGTATAAGTCACAGGCATGCTAATTTATGCAAAAACTGCGACTTGAGCCTTATCCACATGGGATTAGTTTTATCTAGGGACCACATGTAATAAATAAATTACTCCCCAACATCTGCTTTTTATGTGGTGCATTCGCACAGGATAACCAAAGCCTGAAATTTAGCTGAAATTTACGGACATCTTCCAGATATGATGTTAACGGGCTGCGTAGTCACGACCGGGCAGGTCCATACATATAATGTATTTAATGTGCGGGCCATGCTGGTCTCAGGCTTTGATGTGGTTTTACGAATCAGCACAAAGAAAACTCAAGAATGCACAATATAAAATTGTGTTAATCTACTTGTTGAGGAGGATGCAGGTCCGCCCGGCCAGTTTAAGAGGTAAACAAAGCTATGTTAAGCTCAGATGGACAACTGTCACCAGTCGCGCACGTCCGCTGACCCGCCGGTTTAAATGGACTTGTGACCTGTCCAGGTTGTCCCCCGCCTCTCGGCGACCCCAGCTATCCGTAAAAGAAGAAGCAGGTAAATATAATGGATGGATGGATGGATAGATGGTCAGCTGATCACTGGCTGCATGCACGCGTCTCCACAACTGCTGTCATTTGCTGTAAAGGAAGTAGCAGCAAAACCGAAGCGAGCAGCCCGTTAATTTAAAACAGCCTTGTTCTATATTTTTTCCGAATGATTTTGCTTAAAAAAAAAAAAACAAAAAAAAACTACTACTTGTGTATCGGATCCCGCACATTTCTGTCCAAAGCACAGAGATGCCTATTCACATTGGATTAGTTTTATCACAGGATCTCGGAGATCAGCAAAATATAGTAGGTAATTTGCGGGGGAATTTTCACTTTACAAATTACCGACATGGCCGTTTCGCACAGGATTAACAACACAGACAATCTCCGTAATTATTACAAATAGCATGCGGTCCCTAGGTAAAACTAATCCCATGTGAGTAGGGCTTTATACAGTGAAAATTATGGTAAGTAATAATTTCATTTTTTATGTTTTTTGCAGAACAAAACTCAGATGTGGATAACAAGCATTCTACCAGAGTTGTGTGCTGAAGACTGTAAACTGGAGCTCTACCAAAAGGATGACACCAAGGAAGTCCTTGTGTCTGGGAAGTATGTTGAAGGTCAGTATGAATCTGTGGCTAAAACACTGCAGACTTCTGATGATTTTTGCAGTTTAGCCTGAACACTACATGTCTGTGTCTTGCTTAACATTCATTGTAGTGCCATTTCATTAAACACAAATTGTTTTTGTATTTGCAGATGACATCATAGGCATGACTAACAAGTTAAATAATGACAACATAAAAGATAAAGTAAGTGATCCTGATATTTTTATGGTTTCATATATTTATCCATAAAATGTATTTTATCTCTTCATATATACATCCAGTTAATCTAAACACAGTAGTTGAGTCATGAGTACAGTATGTCACTGAGTCTACAAATGCTTTTCTGTGGGCACGACCAAGACAGTCAAAGAGATTCCAAATCTAACCAACGTAGTAAATTATACCGTTTACCATGAGCGGCCTGGAAGGGGAGACTTCCAAAGGCAATTAGCTGCATTGACTCAGCTAAACTCTGTGATTGACTCATAATGCAACTTGAAATACACAAGAGGGGAAGAAAAATACTCCCCTGAGTTCAGAGACTCCCTCAAAGACTTCAAGCTATCAGACTGAGAGCTGGTGTCAAAAACAAACAGCCCACAGACAATTTGTCAGCAGCAGAACATTTTTTTCCAAACACCTGGGACCAGTGTTGGGTTAAGGGTGTGCCTATCTGTTTCTTTGCTGTCAACAAACACTGAATTTCCCTCATTACTACATTGAATGACCTTATCAAGCAGTGATTTACCAAACTTTGGACACGTTTAAATGTTGTTGGCCTTGATAAAATTTATTTTTTGGCATGATTTTTGTTTGTTTTGATACCAGTAAAGAATTCATGACTACATCTGTTGTGCAGAGAATAATACAAGAGGCTCTGATTTAGCTCTGTCTCACCCAAACAGCTAGATTTAGAAAACAAATCCTCTGATTTTAGATTATAAAGATCTTCTTTGATTATTAATCACTAGGACAAAAAGGAATATGCTTAAAACTCAGTGGCTGAAATCAATGTATGATAATTGTTATGCTTAATTATTTATACGATTTGCACAAGTACCACTGCATAAATGAAGTTATATTTATTTCCCAGATTAACGTTGAGGAAGCCAATCCTCGTTGGGGGAAGAACACAAAGTTGGTGCTGGTTTCTTTACTTCTGGTTGGTCTGTTGCTGGCTGTACTGCTAGTGGTCGGCTATTATTTCAAGACTCACCATAAGAACTTCAAAGGTGTCAGACTGGTGAGTAGTTCAGAGTTTTTTTTTATTTTTATAATTTTTTGTTTAACTATTTACACAGAATGAGAAGAATGACCTGTCATTAAAAGATCAGAAACTGCAACTTGAGACAATGGACGAAATGAAGCAACCTAGAACTCCAGAAAATGAGTCGATATGAAAAGTTGCTTCTCATGAACCTGTTCGGAAAACTGTGCACAAAAACAGTTTAATTGAAAACAATATTAAAGTTTAATGTTATGTTTAAATGAGCTGTATTAAACTGTAGTGAACTAGGCCTGAGGTCAAGTCCTGACCTTAAGGACCTT